GATGTGTGTTGTGTGTCAGAAACTAAGATCAATGACGCTAGCGGGATTGTTGAACTAATTGTACCCGGCTTATCCTCTCGTTATTGGTTGTACGCATCCGGAGACGCCGATGCAGCACTCACGGGTCAAGCTGGTGTAGATATCATTCTAAGCTCCAAGGCTGAGCCAGCGTTGGTTGATTGGATTCCGATAAACAGCCATTCGTCGGCCGGTGGCCGAGTGGTCTGCGCGTTTGGTTTGCAACCATAAGGTCACCGGTTCGAATCCGCGTAGGGGTGGGCGTCATCGCGGCATACTCAGCCCGCGCGCAACTGGTGGTGGTGGCGCGGCAGAGAAGCGCCGTTACGGCGTACAGCTTTCTTTCTTTCCTTTTTAAACAGCCGTTTATGTGCAGCCCGTTTGGCGACATCAGCTAAGGTTGATTCGCAAACTAGTACAAAACACTGTTTGTTTGTGATTTCCGACTATGCTCCCACCGACTGCAATTCTAATGCTGTCAAGTAGACATTCTATCACGAACTGAACGCGCTACTACGCAGTGCTATTAGTTCAGCTATCATAGTACTTGCAGGGGATATGAACACACAAGTAGGGCGACTGAGCCCTCCAGAAACTCAGTTGGGTGGTAATTATGGACTTAACTCCGAACGGACTGACAACGGTGAGTGTCTGTTGCAACTCCGTGCGGAGCACCGGTAGTTTCTTAGTAGCTAGTTTTAGACCCAGTGAACGCCGAAGTGCCACTTGGCGTCCTCCTGTAGCTGGGCAGCGATGGACTCACATTGACCACAAAGCCATAAGTTACAGGTGGCGTGGTTCCATCCTGGATTGCCGCTCGTACTGGAGTACCTGCGTCGACTCTGATCATGCACTGGCACGCTGCCGTTTCTCCATGAACTTTACCGGGAGACGCACCAAGCGTCTCCTCCGATTGGCAACTGAGAAATTGTCTCAGCCCTCGGTCAGGCCAGCCTATCAAGACGCACTGCATACCGAACTGTCTTGTTCTAATGACACTGAACTTCAGTGGAATAGGATCTCGGCCTCCATGCACAACGCAGGAGCATCTGCTTGTGGCAATATCCATCGTCACCGCGCCAGTCACTGGATATCCGACAGGTCAGTAAACCTGTTGGAATCTAGAAGACACCTCCAGGCTGACTCTGAGCACAAGGTGACCAGACGGGCTATTAGGCGCAAATTAAAGCGGAGCCGACAAGAAAGCCTGGTGGACCAGTCGGGCTCAAGGAATGGAGGAGGCAGGAGCAGTAGGCAATTACCGCAAGCTCTTCCAGCTAATCCACACCACTGGTCCCAGAAAACCAGGCGTCAGTGAAACAATCAGAGACAACGTGGGTACACTGATACAAAATAAGGAGCACCGTATGGCTCGTTGGGCGGAACACTTTCAAGATCAGTTCAGCTGGCCTCCTGCTCCCGAACCTCTTCATACTCAGGTGATGCAGGACGAGCCATGAACGGTTAGCTTGGAGCCTCCTTCGGGGGCCGAGATCCGAAACGCAATCACAGCCCTCAATCGTTTTCGTGCCGCTGGCCCGGATTCCCTCCCACCTGCAATATTTAAGGATGGAGGTGAGGTCCTCTGCAAAACACTGACCTCCCTATTCGAACGTATCTGGAACGAAGAGAGTGTGCCGGCTGATTGGAACGAATCGATTAGATTTGCAATATACAAGAAGGGAAGTCTCACAGACTGTTCTAATTACAGGGGTATTAGCCTAACGCAAGTTGTGACAAAATAACTGGCTTCGATTCTCGTTCGTCGCCTAACTGTGGAACGGGAATCTCGGATTAGGGAAGAGCAAGCCGGTTTCCGCCCAGGGCGTGGCTGTATAGAACATATATTCACTTTACGGCAGGTGCTAGAACAGCGCCACACATACCGCAGACAGACAATAGATGTGTTCCTCGATTTCAAGAGTGCATTCGATTCAATCGATCGATCGATTCTGTTCGAAATACTTGCGCGGAAAGGTGTTCTCAAGTAATATGTGAACATCCTTCGTGCTCTATACTCAAACATTACGGGCCACGTCAGGGTCTACGGTGGCCTATCGGATAGCTTTCCGACCACAAGTGGCGTTCGTCAGGGTTGTCCGATTTCATCATTTCTGTTCAATTTCGTCGTGGATTCTATCATGCAGTGTTTCCTTGCGGAATCTCACGATGTAGGCGTTGAAGTGCTGTCTGGTGAAAGATTAGTTGATCTTGTTTATGCGGACGATATCGTCTTGATTTTCGACGATGTTGCGGTGGCACAATCAACCCTGAATATCCTGTCCAGAGTGGTCCCATTATTTGATATGCACTACGCAACTTCAAAGTGCAAAGTGTTGCTGCAGGACCACCAGCCACTTTATGACCCCCTGATCCTTGCTAACGAGGAACTCGAGGTGCTTGATGAAATCATTTATTTTGGCAGCTGCATCAGCAATGATGAGGGCATAGAAACTGACGTTAGCTCACGCATTGCAAAGATCAGAGCTGCCTTCTTGAGCCTGCGGCATCTTTGCCGACAGAAGGGAATTTCCCTCCGTCTGAAAGGCCGTGTATATAAGGCCACAGTGAGGGCCGCTCTGCTCTATGGTAGTGAGACTTGGCCCCTTCGGTCTGAATAGCTGAGGCGCGTTCAAGTCTTTGATCACCATTGTCTGCAAAGCATTGCTTGTGTCGGATGGCACCAGTGTGTCCGCAACGATGATGTGCGTAGGCGAGTACTAGGTGGTGATAATCCTGCTACCTCCCTAGAACAACAGATAGCACTGAATAAGTTGTGTTGGTTCGGGCCCGTGCTACGTATGCCTGGTCACCACATACCTAGGAGGGCCTTGTTCAGTCTACCGGATGTAGGGTGGCGCACGGCTCGAGGTGGACGGAAGTTGACTTGGCAACGGGAAATGAAGACACTGACACCCAAACTGGGGCCGTTGGTCCGCCTCGCCTTCCGGGCTGGAGTCCAAGTGACTCGCCTTGTGCTTGTCGCAAGACTTTACAGGACATGGCTTGCAACCGACACCAGTGGCGCGACTGCTGCCGTCTCTTAATCGGATTGCCTGTTTGACGTGTATTTGGTGCTGAGTTGTCTGCGGGGTAAGTGTTGGTTATGACGCGTGGCAGCGAAAACCGCAAGGAAGCTGTTTCGTCGATGCCGCCTTATCTTTGCACGCTAGCCAATTGTTTGTGACGGTAGGTTGTCTACATAAGGTGCACGCGCCTTGACCCTGAATATTTGCTTAGGGCATTAAGGTTTTCAGGTAAGTCCCCCTTCTCTCCCTCTTCTTATTCTTACTTTCATAGGTCATTATGGTTGTATGGCAACGGAGCATCAGTTCAAATGGCTGATGTACTGCAGTTGATGGTGATGATAATGTTGATGTTGATATTTATTCTCTTTGGCCCCTGGTCTCAGTAGTAAGCCGACAGTTCTTTGGCATGGCCAAGGGACACTGCCAGGCCACTGTAGCTATACAAACTAGGACCGGTAAGTTAACGCCTGAACGACTATCAGCGGAAGGGCGGTGCGACGCAGTCCATCAAGTGTTCAACATTGTGGATATTCCATTAGTCGACATGGAAGGGAATATCGGCCAACGGAGATCATTTCCAATCGACAGAGACAGTACAATCCGTAACACAGATACTGTCACTGTTCCACGTCCCCATTCCTCGTTTCCTTAAATCCCAAGCTGTCTTTAAGTTAACATTTGTGAGAAACTCTCCTTTGCAGGACTTGGATGGATAACGTATGGATTTGAAAAACCCTTTAAACGTTACCTTCCACCGACGTTACATCCCGCGGCTACCCGAGCGATCCTGATTAAGCTTACGCTCAGTCGTTAAAAAAGTGTTGTTTTATGTTGGTTAAATTGATCGTGTGCGTTGATTTTTGTTCATCCTGTAGACGCGTTCTGATCACAACTTACCGATGGAAGTTTGATGATGCTGTGTTCCCGTGGTGTACGATAATTGTCCGGGCGTTTCATTTGCGCAGTTGCACTCGGGGCCTCTGTCAATTGGTCCACTTTGATCTGATACGTTGAGATTTCAGTAATCGGCGGAGTGTGCTTCAAGTGATCACACAGGCAATCCAACAGAGTGTAGACCGAATTGACCGTCAGAGTGTGAAGCGTACTCACGATCTGATAGTCAGCCAATCGAATGAAACTGTGGGAAGGGCGCATTAAAAGGAGGAGCAATAGTTTATTGTTCGGGATTGGGAGCGGTGTATCAGAACTAGGGTAGTGTATATTACAGTAGATTTAAGTTTGGTTGGTGTAATTCGTTCCTACAATCGAGTACCTTTGTCAACGTGACAGAGTAATCGCAGAACGCATCCGCCGGCAAAAGGAATATGGGGGGGATTGCGATAGACCACTCGTACAGTCCACATGAACCTAAAACGTCCCAAGAAATAGAACCGGAGGGCTAGTGAATTTGAGCCGTGATTGCTTCTAGTTCGGCTCACACTACTTCAGCATGTGTGTATGTAGTTGACCGTAGTCCGTTCCAAGATGGAACTAACAATGGCACGTAGTCCAATCACAAAAGTAGTGTGCAGCGTCTCCCTTACGTAACGATTAGCCATCTCCTGTAACAAGTAGTCGACGTGGCGGTCTCGGGAGAGTGGGCATATTTTCAACACATCCGCCGAGCACGATCACGTGTGATATACCATCTCAGGAACGTAGAAACACATGTGCATTCGTACTTTAATGGCCCGGTAAAAGCGAACACATCAAGTAAGGCTCATTCTATCGATCCGGTGAAACGGAAGTTTATATCAAATGACTGAACACACATCTACATAGAAAAAGAAACGACGATTGCTATGCGTCAGGAGAATTAGCATCCAAGTTAGTGTGGGGACTCACGTTAAGCTGCTGTGACGTAGCCAAACCTAAGATACACGCACACGAATTTGTTTGCCAGAAGTAAAGCTGAACCGGCCAGACGTGGTGGTGACGCAAATTGGACACGGTAGGCACAACAGGGAAACCGTAACTTAGTTGGGGATATCCGGTCGAATGAGTGAGTCCATATGGACTTGATTGGGCCGGACTTACCGAGCCCGTCGGTCCCTTATTGTGTTACGGTGTCTTCGATGTCCAAGAGTGATGTGTGGACCGTGACCGTGCTTGCGGCGCAGCCACTGTGATATGGTCATCGAAGTTAGTGCTGGACAAACCCACTAGGGCCTGAATGATTGCGACAGAGATTTGGTAGATCAAAAGGCCGTCATGTGTGTCGACAGAGTCGTGGAAGTGTACATTTGGAACACATTCCACAAACATCGCTGGTAGACAAACGGTCTACATTCTGCGTTAACTGAACGCGGGGATGCAAACATGACGGGGTGGCCTAGTAACCAGAAAACGAAACCGCTTATCTTACTAAGATTTTTGAAAGATGTGTGATTTTAGTAGTCTTACAGGGGTTTATCCCTATTATGCTTGATGTTATAAGCTCCTTGTCATAGTTTTGGACTTTTTCCACCTGGAGTAGGTCATACGGGCATCAACTACCGCGACTACCTATTAGCTAGCGATGCTGTCATTTGGGATGGCATCAGAGCCACAAAAGAAGTTCATCAAGTGGATGGGTGAAAGTTCTTCATATCACTTAATGTATATCCCTAAAGTTATGCCAGTTACAACTGTGGCGATTCTGCTTGGAGTACGTGATAACACCTATATCACATCTTGGTAATTAGAAATAATGATCAACTTACAATGGTATGAGCGGAATAGCGGTTTAATAAAAGGAAATCCAGCACCTCGGTAATTTATCTTGTGCTACCCACGCTAGTAGTTTACGCTGCAATAGAGAATGAAGAGCGCTATATCTCCGTCTGTAATCGGTCAAGGAGGAATAGCTCAGTGGCTCAAATCGATGCCTTTTATCCGGACGGACATGAGTTTGAATACCGTCGAATACGAGATGAATGCGCACTCCTAATACATCCCATTAGTCTTCGACACTCTTCCGGATTTTCTGTGACTGCGACGGCGTACTGAGCAACGAACCCCATCCTAACACTGGGCCATTTACAGCCAACTTCTGTTAATCTCTTAATAGAAGTGTGGAAGTTTAAAAGCTGGTCAAATCAAAACATGGATAATCCAAAACACATATTCTTTGTAACGTTCACACGCTGCCATACTGCGTTATCTGCTAGCAGACTTCTTTAGTCATTAATGGAAGTTGACAACAAAATGTAAAATGGACTCTCACCATGTCAGTCTTTGACAATATTTGCGCTTGGCTGCCATCTCAGTAAAGGTCATCTTCTCGGGTGTTTCCGAGGCGATTTCCGCATCATACAAAGAGGACAAATAGCTCGTGCCCGGATTTTGTGATTCTGTGCAGAGTCGAAGAAGAAAGCAAGCAAAATGAGGGGACATTTTGAACAAGATAGTTAATACAACTGATTCCTCAAACGGAAACTGTAGGAAGCGAACAGAATAACAAGCATAAATTACGCGTCTTCATCTTCTCAGTCCGTCGCTGCAGTTTGGCCCGATTGTTTTTGATCTGACGCAGTCCCAAATTTACCGCTTTCATTGCTTGCCCCACAAGAGGATGATCAATGTCGTACTGGATTGGATCAAGATGCAGGCGCTTAGCACTCAGTTTACAGCCCTCCACCAACTCCTCGATGTCATACAGATTTCGTTCTGTTGGTCAGAAAACCACAACGTGCACAAGGTGGAAAAGAACGATAGCATACGTAAGGTGAGGCTCCTGTTAGAGAATTTCGACCACTTATGCGCATGAGAATAGGAGATGAGTCTGAGGAACAACCAGACAAACAAATCACAGTGCGTGAGTTCCTATGGTCTCCCAGTCACAGGCATCTGCATTCGTGGCAATACTATCACTTAGCGGGATACCAAAAGTTGGACGTCGGCAGGTAGCTAGCGAGACTAATCCACATGCACTGCTTGACTATGTGTAAAGCCCTGGGTGTTGAATACTGTCAACTGTCCCTCCTATTTCTTCCCGAGGTATCCGCTAATAAACCGTTGGCAAACGTACCGTCCACGGTTTGCGCATAACCGGTGCATACTGTGAATTCATGATTCACCGATTTGACAGATACCTGTGAATACTTGATTCACAAATGCACCATTGCTACTATGTATTTACTAGTACAGACAAAGCTGTCTAAGGCGATTATTCAAGGGGCCGGCAAAAGTGGTCGCCTTGGGCAGGTGGTCGCCATGGACAGGTTCATGCATAGGGGCATTACTCATAGAAGAAAAAGTTGGGGATGTAATTGGTTGGTCGCCATAGACAGATGGTCGCCATAGCAAGTTGGATTGTCGTATATACAGAACCACATTTGTGGACACCATGAGCAGACAGCCAACAATCATCAGACTAAGAATCTGCATAAACCGATGAACCGTTTGTTTTCCCTAGACTAGCTTTCTTGGCTTACTGCAGTGGTTCAACCTGCTTCAGCTATGTAATGGCCTGATGAAGGTTGTCGAAAATGGATATTTTCCTTGAATTGATGGTAGCATTACCTCGTTGTGTGTGTTTGCGGACATCGAATTTCATGACACAAACATCCAGGTATTTTGTTTTAACGCGCCACCTATTACGCAAGTGAATGAGAGCAGGCTGGTCGAACTGAAAAGTGCCGAATATTCATATACCTAATTGTGAGTCTGTTCACCTATTCGTAAGTTGTAGGTTGCCATTTTGCATTACGATCATGGTTACGTCAGTCCAATTTGTGCTGCCCACCGCCCTTAATTCTCACAGCCCAGACCGTGCGTCTAGATAGGCCTTATCGACTCATCGTTGGGGATTGCTACAGGAACACACGCGATGAATGAAAGGGGGAATTTTGAAATCGGTGTATGCGTTAACTTCAGAAATTAGTATGACTACATAAATGGCAAATATTAACTTCGCCTCAACTGTTAGACGAAGTGGAACACCTATGAAAACTTTAGGGGAGCTTTGCAAAACTCAGAACAGATGTAGATTTGGTTGATAGTTGAGGCGTTGCTAGGCTTTCCGAGTTCTTTAATTGCACATGCCATCGAAAGACTTATTTTCTTGAACTTGGACAGACTTCACCACACTTAAGTAAACGTCTTGTCTGACTCCTGGCGTATGCGTATCGTCGCTCGTGTCTGGGGCACTGGGACAACACAGTTCCCACGCCTGACACTAGAACAACAGCGTCGACATTACGGTCCATGGTGAGGGTTTCGATGCACCTCGAACAAAAAGTGGGACGAGCTAATCGGAAAACAGGGATGAAACAGGCAGACCATCTAACATGAAATGTAAAACTCAAGTCATTAGTCACACATGCACAGCCGTCTGCGTATGCGGCCTTCGTTGTTTGGTTAAGATCAACTGTTCACTTCCAGTCGGTTCATTGGTCATTCGTTGGAAGGACCCAAAAGTAAGAGAGTCTCTGCTTTTAACGTACGATTGTGGCGTCGTTTATGGACGCAAGCCATTACGAAGGTATGTAGACAGAACGAGTAACGCACATTATGATTATTGTATCGATCCACCTCTTCCAATTAAATCGTCCGTTGATAAAGGACCGGCCTTCGAGATACGTATTTTTGACCGGCGTAAAGATGCATGAACAGGTGAAAACAGCCGCCTGCTGCTAGTTCCTCATTTGGAGTCGACCATTTCATTCTTTCCACGAAACATCGAGTTATCCAGACGAATTCGGTTTACCAACTTGTTTACTGTGGTATCATTCTCCAACGATGGCAATCCCAAAAGCCACATGCGTTCTGAGGGATTTGCCAAATCCAGCAAAGATAGCGACATTAATGTTTATGAAGTATTCGCACATCCTTGGAACGTCCTCAGGCAAAGCAATGTTAATGCTTTGTGTGGAATCCAGGATATCACCTGCATAACATCGTTAATGAGGTATATTTCGTCGTCTCTTGTTTCACTTTTCCAGGAAGTCTAACTATACCTTTTTACACGCATATTAGCGTATTGTACCAAGCTTTTAGCGTGGTTCATTTTCGAAATAGCGTGCGGCACTTTCAAGTTAGCGAGGCGGAGAACGCTGATTTGGCGTCCTTGACACTCTCATTGGTTATGGGACGTAAACCAATGGGACTTCGGTTAGAAGCTGCCAGCATACGCGACAGACAGTCCAATGAAAGTGGTCGAGCACCACCTTCCGTTCTGCCCTGATGCCCCCCTGGAGTAAACCTCGATGATTGGTCTCCAACCTGAAATCGACCAATAGGTAAATTGTGATGCTTGTCAAAGGAGGAGATGCTAGCTACCACACTATCCAAAGCTTAAGACTTAACCAGTGTGGATAGACATACTAACCAGCACATGTAGCGGTCTATGGCGATCACTGGCGGCTACCTAATGGTGGCTTATTCAGCGGCCTAACCATGGTGGCGTAGACAGGCAACCATCTAACTCGTATTCCACAGTACAGCAATGGCTGGTAGGCGGTTAGACAATTGTGTGCGAATGTCATTGCAACGATCATGGGGGACACAGTTCCCACAGAAGTTAGTAGACCAACCTGAAGCTGAACAACGACAATTCTAAGGTTGCTTAATTCGATCACAGTTGATGACTCAACAAAAAATGATAGGATTGCAATTGTGGCGTTGCCACGACGTCAGTGAGTGTTCGTTTGTCGCCATACCCATGGGCGAAATGTTAATCAGTTGTCGCTTCAGTGTCTCTATATTTGGCGTTACGTAAAGGTCATAGGAAGCTATGAATTTATAGGATCATTAGGTTTCACTTCCATATGGTCGCCCATGGTGACGTAGACAGAGAATAATCTCACTGGTATTCCGCACGTCAGCAATGGCTGCTAGGTAGTTATATAATTTCGCGCGATGGTTATTGCGACGATCATGGGGACATTGTTCCCATTGAAGTTAATAGACCAACCTGAAGCTGAACAACGAAAATTCTATGTTCGCTTACTTCTATCTCAGTTGATGGCTCAACAAAATGTGAGAGGATTCCAAGTGTGGCGTTGACACGACGTTAATGAGTGTTCGTTTGTCTCCCAACCCATGGGGGCATTTGTTAGTCAGTTATCACTTCAGTGCCTACATGTATCGCGTTATGTAAAGGTCATAGGAACCTATGTATTCTTAGGATAATTAGACTTCACTTCCATATGATCGCCCATACGTGTTGAGACGCTTTAGCAAGTGGCTCTCCAAATGGAACCATTATAAGCACAGTCAATGCAGATGGAACCTCCCTATTACGTCAATGGACTGGCATGCTCTCCTCAAAGAATCGGCATTACTCAACAAAGTAACACTTAAAGGGGCCACAATGACTACGGTGTTTATACATGCCACATCGTCCTGCTAGAAAGAACGCAAGACTTATGATTAGTGGCGACGCAGGCATGTTACTCTGGTACTTCAGGTGAGTACTTGGAACAGATAAACACTGTTGTCTCACCCACGGGCGTTCCTACAATGTGTTTGCAATCATTTACAAAGGCAACCGCGCCCACTAAACCTGCTATGGATCACTGTTTCAGCTAGTCTTAGAAGCATTCATGTATGCACGCCGTGACACAGGTTGTTAGCGACTTAGCAACTACTGGGAAACATTTTGTCATTGGGAAGTAGGTAATTCCGGAGACGTTGTTGAAGGAGGAAAATTTCTGCAATCTCTATGCTTACTATGCGTATTCAATGCTCGTAGGCACCTCATATCAGGGCCGTAGGGTCACTTGAGATTTAAAACTTATCAATCACTTGGAAGTGAAGGGTAAATATCACGTTGAAACGCAGGATTGACATGCATCTTACGACCTTAACATAACGGCAGGACCATGGGTCTTGTAGCGGTAACTGACTACCGAAGTGGCGCACAGGTGGGGCGATGAACGAACACTCACTAATGTCGTGTCACCGCCACACTAGGAACCCTGCTCTCTGGAACAATGGCTACAGATCCAATGATGATCTTACCTACACAGCGAACTTGATCTTAGTATACAATGCGCCGACTACATAAGCAATACCTATCTACGCTATTCACAGGAGTGTACGGCCAACTGAAAAAAACACAGCAAGAGAAATTTGTAGCTGTAAAGCTTTTTAAAAATTCTATTTGCCAAGTTCTAGCTTTAACTCCTTCATACGAATTAATGCATTGTTTCCGATTACCTCACAATGCGTGAACAATCACACGCACATCCTAAGGTAAGTCGCACACCTATCGATCCTCCAGATGGCTCGCAGTGGCACGATTACACTGTGCATCACGTGTGGCCAGATAGGCTAGCGAGAAAGATAGCCAACTTGCATTCAACCCGTAAGCCTATAAAGGTTCCCTTCCAACAGGGTTGCAGCCAATCCGCTTCCTATCACTACTCAATTAGTTGTCATCACGCTCGTGTAAGCCTTCAAAGCCCCTCTTACAACAGGCTGCAAACGTTACAACCTCAAAAAGCCACCAATCCGCTTCTTATTACCACTCACAGATTTCCTCTCGCCCCCGGTGCTAGTGATAGCTCCTTACGCCGGATTGGCAGCATGAGCAATCACGTACTATGTCTC